GTGGCCACTCTTGGCTGGAAGCAGCGCACTCGGGTTAAAAGTCCCAGGAGGCTCCACGACTCAGAGTCTAGACAGAGGCTAAACTGGTAGCAGCCACTCACCTTGGGCTCCAGCAGAGGGAAGGCAGACTGAACTGGAACTGTGTGGGGACACTCAGGTTTTGGAGGGTGCTCAGAGCTTTTGCTGAGTGCAGCCATGCAGAACGGTAGTGGTCTTACTCCTTCCCAGGGCCCTGAGGAGAGGCAGTGGCCCCTCCCTCAGAGAATCAACCCCACGTGGTGGCCATTGAAATGCTATTGAGGCCCATTAAATACCAGCAGCTGCCCCACCCTCAGGAAATCCTCTTACACTGATCACCTCAGGGAGTTTTTCAGTCAACTCAGAAACCAAGGTTCCTCAGGTGACCTCTACTAATAGCCTCCAGGCACAAAAAAAGCTAGAGGATAACTACCATTCCCTAGGCTAGCAACACTGATGACAAAAGGTAAGACTTGACAGTGGTGTTTAAAGTGGGTCCTCCCTGGCTCATCCAAACCCAGGAGAGGGAGCCACAAACAACAGAACACCAACACCAACAGGGAAAATTTGGCAGACTCAAAAGCCCACTGTGATAGCCAAAATGGTGAGAAACAGAAACAAAAGCCAAATGAAAGAACAAGAGACATCTACCGAAGATGAGATCAATGACACGCAATTAAGCAAGTTAACAGAGCTAAAATTTAGAGCCATGATGTTGAGGAAGCTCAACAGCATGTGTAAGGACATGAGCACCATGAGTAAAGACATAGAAATGTTGAAAATCAACCGAGTGGAAATTAAAAACCACCAAGAAGAAATGAAAAATGACATATCAGAAATGAAAAACACATAGCTAGGTCTAAAAAGCAGAGTAGGAGAAGCTGAGGACCGGATCAGTGAATTAGAAGACAGGCCAGAAAAAATCGACCAATCAGAAAACCAAAAGGAAAAAACGATTAAAAAACAGGAAGACAGCTTAAGAGAACTGTGGGACAACTGGAAACTGAATAATATTCACATCATAGGAGTCCCTGAGGAACAAGAAAATAAGCAAATGTTAGAGAATATATCTTAAGAAATAGTGACAGAAAACTTCCCTAATTTGGTGAAGGAAGAAGGCATTCAAGTTAAAGAAGCACAGAGAGTCCAAAGTAAGAAGCCAAACAGGTCCACACCAAGACACATAGTAATCAAACTGCCAAAAATTAAAGACAAAGAGAAAATCCTAAAGGCAGCAAGAGATAAGCAACAGGTTACCTACAAAGGAAACCCCATAAGGCTCTCAGCTGACTTTTCACAAGAAACTTTACAGGCTAGAAGGGAATGGCATGAAGTAATCAAGGTCATGAAAAACAAGGATCTGAGAAAACAAGGATGTGGAGAAAAGGGGACTCTAGTGCACTGCTGTTGGTAATGCAGACTGGTGCAGCCACTATGTAAAACAATATGGTGTTACCTCAAAAAATTAAAAATTGAACTTCCATTTGACCCAGTGATCCCACTTCGAGGAATATACCCTAAGAAGCCTGAAACACCAATCAGAAAGAATATATGTACCCCCATGTTTATAGCAGCGCTATTTACAATTCCTAAAATCTGGAAACACCCCAAGTGTCCATCAGTAGACGAATGGATAAAAAAGCCGTGGTACATATACACAATGGAGTACTACGCAGCTGTAAGAAAGAAAGATCTCTTATCCTTTGAGACTACATGGAGGCACCTAGCAAGTATCATCCTAAGGGAAACAAGCCAAACAGAGAAAGACAAGTTTCATATGATCTCACTTATTTGTGGAATATAATGAACATAACAGTCTGAGGAATGGGGTAGTCCCAGAGACGTGTAAGTGGGGTACAGACTGACAATCCCCAGAAGAGGAGTTGGTGGGGGAGAGATAAACCATAGAACTTATATGCATGTATGCATGAACAGTGGACATGGTCAACAAACTGGGAAAGGGCAGGGAGGGAGGGGGAGGGGGAATCAGTGGGGGGAAAAGGAGAAACATCTGTAAAAAATTAATTAATAAAAAAATCAATAAAAAATAAAATAAACAACTTGTAAACAAAATTTCTGCTTCTCAAGGAAAAAAAAATTATTTGTGCATGCAATTTACAGAGTAAATATTGGCCCAACAATGGAATGGGGCAGTCTGGCATATAGAGAAAACTATGTATAAGTTTTTTATCCCTAAGCTGGCATTCTAGAGTTTGAAGAAATGCCTGTTTTTGTAATTGGCTGGTCCTTCCGTAACCATCACTACAGCTGAACCTTTATTATTTTGTATGTAGCATTGAGTATGTTAGCTCCCATATTTATATGGAAGTAAATTAGCTTGTTCACCACTGTCCATTGTACTTGGGGCCCCTGTGGAGTAACAGTAATAGGTCAGGATGTGTCTAGGGGAGCCACTGGGCTTCCAGATTCATAATTCCTTTTAAACATTTCTTTGTGAGGGTTTCTATCCTTTTTATTTTTATTTTTGAATTCCAGGTATTCCTTTCTTTAATGGCTTTCCTCTTTGAAATAGGTGCACTGATAGGCACTTGGTGTGTCTTTCCCTTTTCCTTTCATGTCCTGTTTCTCCTTCTGGTTTCCCCACACTCCTTCTAAGAAAATGGTGGCCTGCTTTAATTTTCTTGTTTCCCAGGCATGGTAAGCTTTAAAGGCTATGTACACCAGCTAGAAGAAATTTATTCCCAATGCCCCATCTATGTGTTGAGGCTTCTTTCTGATATCTAGGGCACTTTGCCCAATAATACTCATATTTATCATCCAGACTTTTTTTTTTTAATCCTCACCCGAGGACATTTCTTCATTTCTTGTTCAGATAGAGTGGGAGGGAGAGAGAGAAAGAGAAACATCAATGTAAAAGGGACACATCAAGTGGTTGCCACTCGCACCACCCAACCAGGGTTGGGGACAAACTGTAACCAAGTTATGTGCCCTTAGCGGGAACCCAACCTGGGTCTCTCTGGACTACAGGCCAATGCTCTAACCACTGAGCAAACCAGCAAGGGCTGTCATCCAGACATTTTCTAGTGCCTGTGGATCAGCATCAGTTTGCTTTTAATAGGCCTAGAAGGTCCTTTATAAAAATTCAGAAGGATCTTTGGTTTATGTTGAACAGCAAATTGCATATTTAGGCTCTTTTGTTTAGGCATCCCTTTATTAAACCCTTCCAATATGCTTTCTTTATGTCCTAGGGAGACTAAGTCACCATTGTTCAGGTTGCAGTTTGTTTTTTGTTTGTTTTTTTAATCCCCACCCGAGGACATTTTTCCATTTTTTGTTCATATAGAGTGGGGAGGGAAAGAGAAAGAGAGAAACATCAACGTGAAAGGGACACATTGAGTGGTTGCCACCTGCATGACCCAACCAGGGTTGGGGACAAACTGCAACTGAAGTACATGCCCGTAGCGAGAACCGACCCCAGGTCTCTCTGGACTGCAAGCCGACACTCTACCGCTGAGCCAAACTGGCCAAGGCTGCAGTTGGGTTTTTTAAATGGAATTGCCTTGGCTGTGTTGGGGGTCCTTTTGGAATTCTCTTGATGGAGATAATGATCCTCTTCATTAACCTTACTTATAACAAGCCACTTTTCATTTGCCATTAGCAGGATGTCACGGAGAGCCAGTACATCTGCCTAATTTGGATGGCGAATAGCAAAAATGGAAAGGATGAGATCTGCCAATTTATCCCTATATGAGTGGTTGAAATTATTCCAATTCAGAAAATCTGAAGTAGAAAATGGAGTGTGGGCCCAACATAGCCAGCAGGCAGGCCTTTCTGGTTTATTCTGCCTATGGTATATTGCCTCAAAGGGAATTGTCCTGCTCCTAATAGGGAAGCTCCCTGGCTAAAGTGGGTGCCCTGCTAAGTCTTTGAGAGAAAGGCCATTCTTTCATCATACAGGGATGGAGCTGTTACCCCTCTGGGCCCTATCTCAGGGGCATACTGCCAACCAATACCACAAGCAGTCCTAACTGAACCCAAATGGCATGAAGCCCAAGCAGCAGGGATAGCCTGTTAATCAGTACCCCAAATGGTCTTAACTAGATCCAAGAGGCACAAAGCTCAAGTGGCAGGGATAGCTACCAACCAAGTAACACAGACGGTTCTTACTTGCTGTCTCTCAGCCTGACAGGATCGGTGCAATGCGATGAAACTACAAGCACATGCTGCTTGGGGTGAGGGGAAGCTTTGCAAGGTAGCAAATGTTCCAGTTCTCTGGATGCAGTCCCATTTATTTTTAGATTGGTACCCCCAGGTCACAAGTGGATTTAAGTAAATTATTTTCTTGAGATGGCATTACTGCAAACATATACCCTAGCTTTGTCTCTTGCTTTTTACAGGAAGACACCTTGAAGCCAAAAGATAACAAACCATTATTTACATGCAAATTAAGTACCCAATACACCTGGGTGGGCCAGGTCCCCCCCTACTAGGATTCCGAGAATGCATTAACACAAGGTTGAGAGTGCTTAACACAAAGTTAAAAAACATCCATCTTCCAACCTCCCAACACCACACTTACTGGACCCAAGGGGTACAAAGCCCAAGTGTTAAGGATAGAGGACATCTGCTGTGCATGTCAGTTTGACTTATCCAGTCTTGGAGTTCATCTGCTTCCCCAATACCTGTTTCCTTCCAGAAGCCAAGCATTTCAAGTAGTTGACTCCTTGAGAAAGAGTGAAGGAAAATTACCCCAAGAGCTCTCTGCAGCTTCTGGGAAATCCCCATATTCCACTTTCCTGGGTTGGCCTGCCACAGGCAGCTGGAACCCCAACTCTGGCTCTCCAGGACTTACCAAAGTCCACACTGCCCCACCAGAGTTACCCAAAACTATAACCAAACAACACCCCCAAATAACAAAACAACAACAACAATAAAAAAAACCCAAAGGTTTGGCTACCAGCCACAAGAAAGCCAAACTCATGAGGAAGGTGTTGATGCCAAATAAAAGAGGTTTCCTTTAGGACCTGGAAGAATGGTGGACTCCTGTCTCAAAGACCAATCTTCAGTTTCAAAGATCAGACCTCTTCTGGCTCAAGCCAGTCATTCTTATAAAGATAGAGGTGAGGTTTTATTTTGTTTTGTTTTTTTCCTATCTTTAGGTGCACTGGAGTTTCTATCCATTTATCTTTCTAGCTTTTAGCACTGTCAGAGCCCTATCCATTTATCTTCCTAGATTTCATGGGTGCTCTGTCAAGCTTCTTTTCCCTGTAGCAGTCATTATATCTTCCTATGCTCATGTTATTCTGGCTGTCATTTAAGTGATATCTGGAGAAGGATGCCACAAAGCTTTCATCACTCATTCCTCCCACCTCATAGTAGTGAAAATGTACTGTGGAGCTGCCATGTTCATATACACAAGCCTGTTTCTGACATTTCTTCCACTCAGGACAAGACAGTGTCAACTTTCTATACCATCCTGACTTCCATGCTGCAACCTATCATTTACAGCCTCTGCAACAAGGAAGTGACCAGGGCATTCATGAATGTGTTAGGGAAGAACATTTCTGAAAAGTAAGTTGCTTAATTACCTTTATTATTTTTCCTTATATTTGTATTTTTATGATTAAATTTGTTTTCAACCAACACTATCAGCACCTAATATTTATCCATATGTACAGATTTATAATCAACAAAATGAGACTTAGAGACTGAAAACCATTTACATTCTTTTTTATCTTTATTGTTGCAAGTATTACAAATCTCCCCACTCCCCCCACCATTGAAAACATCCTCCCCACTCCCACCCACCCCCCATTGGCCTTCCCCACACTACTGTGTCCATTGGTCATGCATATAAATTCTTTGGTTTATCTCTTTTCAACCACCCCATCCCTTTTCCTCTGAGGTTTGTCAGTCTGTTTCCTACTTCCATGTCTCTGGATCTATTTTGATCATTAGCTTATTTTGTTCCTTATATTGAAAAAAAAAAAAGTGAGATCATGTGGTACTTGTCTTTCTCTTCTTAACAAAACAGTTTCCACGTTCCTCCATGTCATCTCAAAGGTTAAGAGATCTTTCCTTCTTACAGCTGCATAGTATTTTATTGAGTAAATGTACCACAGCTTTTTTACCCACTCATTTATTGATGGACACTAGGGCTTTGTCCATATCTTAGCTATTGTAAACAGTGCTGCTATGAACATACAGGTGCATATATTATTTTTCATTGGCATTTCAAGTTTAGAATATATTCCAGGAAGTTGGACCACTGGGTCAAATGGCAATTCCATTTTTAATTTTCTGAAGAAACACAATATTGTTTTCCATAGTTGCTACAACAGTCTGCAGCATTTCCACCAGCAGTGAACTGGAGTACCCTTTACTCCAAATCTTCACCAGTACTTGTTTGAGATTTGTTGATGGCAGTCATTCTGACAGGTGTAAGGTGATATTTCATAGGCATTTTAATTAGTGACACTGAGAATTTTTTTATATGCTTCTTGGCCATTTGTATGCCCTGTTTGAAAAGTGTCTATTCAGGTCCTGTGCCCATTTTTTATTGGATTTTTTGTTGAGCTGTACAAGTATATTATATATTTTGGATATTAACCCCTTATCCAATGTATCATTGGTAACTAAGTTCTACCATAGAGTGTCTTCCTTTTTTGTTTTGATGCTGATTTCCTCTGCCATGAAGCTTTTTAGTTTTATGTAGTCCCATTTATTAATTTTTTTCTTTGTTTTTTTTTTTGCCTTACATGATGTGTCAGCAAAAATTGTACTATGTGTGATGTCTAAGATTTTACTGCCTAAATTTCCTTCTATTATTTTTATTGTTTCACAAGTTACATTTAAGTCTTTTATCCATTTTGAGTTTATTCTTGTCAATTATATAAGTTGGCAGTCTGGTTTCATTTTATTTGCATGTATCTGTCAAATTTTTCCAACACCATTTATTGAAGAGACTGTCTTCTCCATTGCATGCTTTTGCCTCCTTTGTCAAATATTAATTGTGCATACTGTCTTGGGTCGACATCTAGGTTCTCTGTTCTGTTCCACTGATCTAGATGCCTGTTCTTGCACAGGGTGTTTGATTATGATGACTTTGTAGTATAACTTGGTATCTGGTATTATAATCCCCCCCAACTTTGTTCTTCTCTTTAAAAATTGCTGTGGCTATTTGTGTCTTTTATAGTTCCATATAAACTTTTGGAGTATTTGTTTTAGGTCTATGAAATACACCATTGATACTCTGGTAGGGATTTCAATGAATCTGTAGATTGCTTTGGGTAGTATAGACATTTTAATATTGATTTTTTCAATCCATGAACATGGTATGTTCCCACTTGTTTATATCTTCCTCTATGTTTGTTTTTTTTCAATGCCATGTAGTTTTCTGAGAACAGGTCTTTTACTTCCTTGGTTAAGTTTATTCTTAAGTATTTTATTATTTTTGTTGCAAAGGTAAATGGTGTGTGTGTGTGTGTGTGTGTGTGTGTGTGTGTTTCCCTTTCTGAGTGTTCATTATTGGTGTATAAGAATGCCATTGAAAAACAACGAGGGAAAAAATATGGTGGCGGGAAGGACCGGAGAAAGGGTGAGTGTGTGAGAGAGTGAGCGAGTGTGTTACAGAGTGTGAGTGGACACAAAGGTGGACGACCAAACCCAAGCAGTGCAGAGCCGTGGAGCAGAAGGTTCCTGTGCTGTGGACAGGAGCAGCCAGATACCTCAGTAAGCAGCCCTTCAGGGTGCTTCTCCATGTGTCGCTGGGAGGTCCCACCATTTTGAAAGATCCCAGGTTTTCCATGAGAGGAGGAAGTGGGAGTGGCTAGGGCCCAGCAATCTGAGCCCACCAGCACACCTGGCACCATTGGACCAGTGGACACCCTGTCAACACACACCGGTGCACAGTAGCGGAGCTCCCAAGGTGCTGGTCGCAAAAGTCGCAGATAATACAGAGCCCAGCACCACACCCTATAGTAGCAGCCCAATCAGAGTCGAGATATACCCCCAGAAACAGAGGCTGGGGAGCAGAAATCAATCCCTAGGCAACAAAAGCACAGACCAAATGAAACCCATCCCCCAAAATTACAACAAAAGCTGAGCAGGAGTTGAGCCCCACAAGGCAGCAGCACTTCCCAGCTGCCAGTGGAGGGACCTGGAGCTCCACAGAGGACTGTGCAATCCAGTAGCTCACAACTGCAGTGGGAAGCCTGAGCTTGAGAGAGACCGGTGCAATCCAGCTGAACACCCATGGGAACTCCAGGACTCAGGGGCACCAGAGAGGCCTGTGCCACCCAGCAGGGACTGTGCAATCCAGTTAACTGCAGGACCTGTGGGGGGCTGAAGCACCAGAGAGGCCTGTGCAACTCAGCAGAGACTGCGGAACCTAGTTACCCACAAGGCCTGTAGGGTGCTGAAGCATGAGAGGACTGCATGACCCAGCAGGGACTGTGCCATCCAATTTCCCACAAAATCTGTGGGGTGCTGAAGCACTAGAGAGGCTTGTGCCATCCAGCAGGGACTGAACAATCTAGTTACACATGGGGCCTGTGGAGTGCTGAAGCACCAGAGAGGTCTGTGAGACTCAGCAGCACATAACACAAGCATAGAGCCAGGTCCCCAGAGGGGACCATGTGACCCAGTTACCTGCAAAACCTGCAGGGTGCAGGGGCACCAGAGAAGCCTGTGCAACACAGCTGCACACAAGAGAAACTTAGAGGATATATATATATATATATATATATATATATATATATATAGACAGAGTGAATAGAAGCAACGCAGATAATCTCCCAGGACCAAACAAACATTACAAGTAAAATAATGACAAATCCTCAAAAAAAAAAGCAACAGAAGAGCAGCAGGACAAGACCATATAACCAGGGACACTAGCAAAACACCAGGGCTACATTCCAAGGCACTGAGTAAGTGAGACTACTAGCCACCAGGAAAAAGCTGAAAAATACCTGAACTTTTCCTGGGCTTTCAAATCTACCCAGGAAAGTAAGACTTGACAGTGGTGTTTAACATGGGCCCACCCAGGCTCATCCAAACCCAGTAGAGAAAGCCACAATTAGCAGAACACCAGCACACACATGGAAAATTTGGCAGGCTCCAAAGCCAAATGAAAGAACAAGAGACCTCTACCGAAGATGAGATAAATGAGGTGCAGTTAAGCAAGTTAACAGAACGAGAATTCAGAGCCATGATCTTGAGGAAGCTCAACAGCATGTGTAAGGACATGAGCACCATGAGTAAAGACATAGAAATGTTGAAAATCAACAAGTTGGAATTAAAAACCATGAAGAAATGAAGAATGACATATCAGAAATCAAGAACACATTGGAAGGTCTAAACAGCAGAGTAGAGGAAGTCAAGGACCGGATCAGTGAATTAGAAGACAGGCTAGAAAAAATCAACTAATCAGGAAACCAAAAGAAAAAAGAAAAAAAACAGGAAGACAGCTTAAGAGAACTGTGGAACAACTGGAAACGTAATAATATTTGCAAGAAAGGAGTCCCCGAAGAAGAAGAAAATGAGCATGGGTTCGAAAATATATTTGAAGAAATAGTAACAGAAAACTTCCCTAATTTGGTGAAGGAAGAAGGCATTCAAGTTCAAGAAGCACAGAGAGCCCCAAGTAAAAACCCAAACAGGCTCATACCAAGACACATAGTAATAAAATGCCAAAAATTAAAGACAAAGAATCCTAAAGGCAGCAAGAGATCAGGAACATGTTACCTACAAAGGAATCCTCATTAGGTTCTCAGCTGACTTCTCAACAGAAACACTACAGGCCATAAGGGAATGGCATGAACTAATTAAGGTCATGGAAAACAAGGATCTAAATCCAAGATTATTCTTTCCAGCAAGGCTATCATTCAAAATAAAAGGTAAAATAAAGAGCTTTCCAGACACAAAATAAAAGGCTAAGGAAATATATTAACACCAAACCAACACTACAAGAAATGTTAAAAGGATTGTTGTAATTAGTAGACAAAATATGAAGAAAAATAGAACCACACTAAACAAAAATAGCAATAAATAAGTACATATCAATAATAACATTAAATGTAAATGTATTGAATGCTCCAATAAAAAGACACAAGCAGCCCAAGCCAGTTTTTCACAATGGTTAGAGAATCCACCCACAGTCCAGAGAGGCCTGGGTTCAGTTCCCACTAAGGGCAAGTAGCTTGTTTGCAGTTTGTCCCCAGCCTTGGGTTGGTGTCTGTGGATGGCAACCATTCAATGTGTCTCTTTCACATTAATATTTCTCCTCTCTCTTCCTCCCTCTCTCCCTCCTGCTCTAATTGAAGATAAATGCAAATAAATAAATAAATAAATAAATAATAAATAAAATTTTTTTTAAAGACACAAAGTAGCTGATTGGATAAGAAAGCATGACTCATATATATGTTGTTTACAGGAGACCTATCTCACAACAAAAGACTCACATAAGTTGAAAGTGAAAGGATGGAAAAAATATCTACCAAGCAACAGGAAAGAAAAAAGAAGCTGGGGCACCAATACTCATATATGATAAAATAGATTTCAAAGTGAAGAGC